CACAAGTCTAAGGGCAGACTTCCATGGGATAGGTCTTCCTTCTGGCTGTTTTTTTCTCTAATAAAGTGGTATTGATTGGTGGCTGCCTACAGAGTGGGCAGCTAGGAAATAACACTGAGAAGCAAATTGAGTTCAATACAATCCATTTTGTTGAATATTTACTATGTGCCTAGAACCATGTTTGATCTTGGGAAAGGAGAGGAGGAAAAAGGGAGATACGAAATACTTACTACAGACCTGCAAGGGTCTTAAAATGAAGGGTTTTTTTTGTTGTTTTTGGTTTGGTTTTTTTTTTGTGAGGCAGTTGGAGTTAAGTGACTTGGCCAGAGTCACACAGCTAGTGAATGTTATGTGTCTGGGCCACATTTGAACTCAGGTCCTCCTGACTCCAAGGCTGGTGCTTTATCCATTGCACCACCTAGTAAAATGAAGTTGGACAAATAAGATGCACAGAAGAAACAGCCTTCAAGAAGGAAATGAGACAGTAGAAGATCAAGTACTAACCTGCCTAACATAGGGCACAGACAATTAGTGCTGTAGGAAAGGGAAAGGAAGCTTTGAGACAGCTCTGCCTAAGGTCTTCAGAATCACAGAAACTCCCTGGAGAACTTCCTGCTCTGCCACTTACTAGCTGGATGACCCAGAGTCAAGTATGGAAAGAACAAGTCCAAAGGAAGGCTGGGAAAGGAAGTCCGGAGTCGGGAGGGTCAGGGGAAGGGCTTGGAGATGGATCAGTAAGTGCAAAACTTAGAATCTGGCTGAAGCATTTTTAGTGAATACCTACCAGCTTGTTGGGGCTTTGGAACAATTGAAAGTTTGCCTTAAGTGGATGGTGTTTTTTCTTGTTAATAAAGGGAAATGTTCTTGGTGTCTTACTTTAAAAAATAATAGGCTGACCCTCTGTTCCTCCCCCTTTCTAGTCTTTCCTCTTTAGATTATAAGCCCCTTGAGGGCAGGGACTGTCTTAGTCTTTTTTTTTTTTTAATTAATTAATTTTTTTTTTGATTTATCAACAGTCACTTCCATAAGCTTTTGAGTTTTAAATTTTCTCCCCCTCCCTCTACATATACATTCCTATTAAACATATTTTCACATTAGTCATGTTGTAAGAAAGAATTAGAACCAATAGAAGGAACCACAAGAAAGAGGAAAGAAAACAAAACGGAAGAAAAAAAAAAAGAGCAAATAGTATGCTTCGATCTACATTCGAACTCCATAGTTCTTTCTTTGGATGTGGATAGCATTTTCCATCAGGAGACCTTTGGAGATGTCTTAGATCCTTACATTGCTGCTGAGAAGGGCTAAGTCTATTAAATTCAGTCATCGCACAACATGACTGTTACTGCTTTCTTAGTCTTATTTGTATCTCCAATGCTTAGTACCGAGCCTGGCACAGAGGATATTTATCACATCTACTCTACCTACTGTAATGCTCTACTTGGATTTAATGAAAAAAGACACAATTTAAGCTTCCAGGGAACTTAGCCATGTATTGATAATGAAACAAAGGATAAAGGAATGACACTCTAGACTATGATGTAGCCCTCTGGGTCCCTTTCATCTGATTTAGTATGTGCCCACAGTAAAGGAGAGGGCCAATCAGGAGCTGTCCAGTTCCTCCAGGATCAAATAGAAAGTCCTTTGTTGGGCATTTAAAGCTTTTCACAACCTGGCTCCATCCTACCTTTTCAGTCTTTTTACTCTTGACTTCCCTCTATGCTGTCTGGCCTAATTGCTGTTCTTCAAACATGACACTCCATCTCTTGTTTCTGTGCTTTGTGCTGGCTGTCCCCCGTGCCTAGAATGCTCCTTAGAATCCCTGGCTCAAATTCCAGTCTTCCAGGAGGCCTTCCCCAGCTCCCCCAGCTGCTAGGGAATTCCCCTTAATGGCTACATTCCACTTACTCCGTATGAGTCTTGTATGTGCTACTTAATTATATGTTGTCTCCCCCATTAGATTGTAAGCTCCCTGAGGGCTTATTTTTGCTTTTCTTTGTATCCCCGGTGCCAATGCTTAATAAATGTTTGTGGATTGATTGCCTAATCTTGGACTGACCTAAGCAGCTACCAAACATTAGAGCTTAAACTGTTTTATGCTTGAGTATAAAGAAAGGGAGCTGGTGCTCTTTATAAATGTACCAGTCTATAGTAAATAGTGCAAAAGCAATGTATAGGGTAGGGAAGGATGCACCCAGGAGTTTTCTACAATTCTTGTGGGTTAGACTTTAGCCTCATCCATCCCTTTGCCTGCTTCTCTCTAAGGATCTCCCCACTTCTCTCCCTAGTATAACCAGACTGCCTTACCCTTTCTTAAGAGCCTGAATCTTCTGATCTACTTACTGATCCCTGCTTTCAATTCTTGTACTGTAGGACAACATGACCATTGGAAATGTCTCCTTGGGGGTGAATCACTTAACGACTCAGTGTCTCGATTTTTCTAAAAATGAAATCATTACCTTCATTGGGATGTTTAGAATCTACTATGCTCTGACTTCCTTTGGATACAAATGCTTTATTAGCTAAAGATGATGGTTAGTATTCTTACAGGTTTTTTAGCATGTTTTGATAAGCCCCTGAACTGCCTTAGCTAGGCCTTTGCTGTAAACCTTAACAGTTTGTAGGCTTGATATTCCCTGAAATTTCTACGAGTATTTGAAATAGGATTTATGATATAGTGGAAAGAGACTTGGGCTAGGAATTGGGAGGTCTGGCTTTATCACATAAACTATATGAACTAAGACAAATCATTTTACTTATGGCTATAAAATTATACTAGAACCCATCTATAAAATGAGAATACCGTCTCTTCTAGCCAGGACTTCACCCTTATTGATGGTCTTCAAGCAAAGCTAGAGGAAGGAGTCCATATATCATGTAGGGGTTTATGCTACACTTCTAAACCCTCCCTTCCAACCCTGAGATTCTAGAAATCATTTATGGGAAGCACTTTCAGAGTACAAAAGCATCCCATAATATGAACTATGATTATTGCTTTAATATTTCAAGTATCTATGGTTTCGACAATGTGTACATTCCCTCTACCACAAATGATAATTTCGGTGGATGATAGTCATGAGCTGCCTGAATGAAGATCAGCAAAGGAGACTGAGCAGTGGTCCCCCAGGTAGGAGGAGAACTAGGAGAGAAAAGTGTCACAAAAACCTAGAGTAAAGAGAGGAATTAAGAAGAGGATTAACAGTGTCAGAGACCTCAGTCTAGAAGGATGAGGATT